TTTTTGGTTGCAGCCATCATTGTTGTTTTGCAGGCCCAGGCTGCATTTGAACCCGCCACCTCAGCTGCTTGAGCCACAGGTGCCGAGCCACATTTACAGTTTTTCAAAGATACTGCCTTTGTTTTTAGATTTTCACTTTAGGTCTCACTTTATTGAAGGTCTTAATAAGGTCTCAGAACCCATTTCTCATATATGCCCAGAAGTGAAAGAAATTTAGGAACTAGAATGCTGTTTTGCGACTTGTAAGCTACTGGAAAGTAATAATCATCCATTTATTTTAAGTGGTTGCAGCCATAAGTTTAATTGATTGTCTGCTTTCTATCCCCCTCTCCAATAGGTCTGATAACTCTGGAGGAACTACATCAACAAGTGTTAAAAGGAAGGGGCAAATTCGCCCAGGATGTCAGCCAGTAGGTCTTGCCTTCAAACTCCTTGGAGTACAGAAAGAGGTCTTTAAAAATTGGATGGAAATATTTTCTCCCTACTTCTCATATGTCTAAGCTAACTTAAGAATCTGTATGATCAGAAGAAAATATATTTTTATTTTAGAAAACTAAAAGTGCAGAGATATAAAAAAGGAAACAATTTCTTGAGATTACAGCTGTTGTATATTTTGATATATTTCCTTTTAGGTATTTTTTTTTTCATGCATACCTGTGTATTATTTTTTAACATACTTGGGGCTACATATACTCTTCAGATTATTGGAGGCCAATTAGACTAGAGTAGTTGCTTAGAAAGGCTGGGGAAAGAGATGGGGATGAGATGAAGGGTATAAATTGATCTGGTTCACCAGCCTCTATGTGTCAGCCCAGCTTGAGAAAAAATGAAAGGCTGTTTTTGATGTCACTCCTAAGGAGCCTGCTTTGGATGAGATCATGAAGACCTGGAATATTTAAAAAGAAAGTGATGACAAAAGATACTAGTCATACTCATTGCAGATTAATTTTCATAGGGAGTGGGTGAGTTAGTGCATTTGAAACAGATTTTAATTTGCTATTCTAGAGGGTTGAAGAAAGCATTCCAGTTTACCTTAAAATCCCCTTTCCCTGGCTGGTTAGGTGATCTTTGAGATTTGGCAGTGGTTGTAAACTTTCAGTATGTGGGCTGGATGTACGTTCATAATCTACATGCTATTTTGTGGGTTTTTTCCCCTCTGATTTGAGCTAGCTGTCAGCTAAGCACTCAGAAAACCTGGCAGTACTGGGCTTGGATTTCAAATGGCAATTATCAGCTGGGCTTCCCTTTTTGAAATGGATAAGAATTCTCTGGTTTGCCATAGTTCACACTACTCCTAGTCCTCTTCAGCTCACTCATTCACATTTCCTGATGGGCTTCTGCAGGTATATTTTTGATCTCTGGATGTTGGAATTGATGCTTTGCTGAGTGGAAAGCCTGACTCCTGTAACATCTCCCTCGATTGTCTAAGCACCATTTGGTGCTTTTTATCCCTGCCTTTTTACTGACATAGTTCAGTGGTGTGCAGCTTTTTGAATCTTCTGTCAGAGTATCCTGCCCAGGGTAGAGCTGAAACTAGCATTGTTGGGTCTGATCTGCCAAAGGTCTTTAAGCAGCTCTTCCTCACCTCAGAGACGACCTGATCAGGGCCATCAAGAAACTAAAGGCACTTGGCACTGGCTTCGGCATCATCCCTGTGGGTGGTACTTACCTCATTCAGTCTGTTCCAGCTGAGCTCAATATGGATCACACCGTGGTGCTGCAGCTGGCAGAGGTACTAGTGGGCCTTGTGTGTGTGTGCACGCAAGGAACAGTGTGGTGGGGGAGTTGGGAACTGTTCTGTATTCTCCCCAGGTCTTCTGGGGAGACTGTCTTGTGGATGAATTACTCAGATATTTGCTGGTTCAGCAGACATTTATTAATCAGCTATAGTACAAAGCACTGGGCTAGGCTGTGGGGCATATAAAGATAGGTGCAGTATAGTTCCTGCTCTCAAGGAGCTTACAGTCTAGTCAGACAGCATGCAAACAACTAACTGTACTTCCTTGAATAGACTCTTTGATGTCTTCGGAAACTACTAGGTGGAGTCTTCAAAACAGATTTTATAAAATCTTTTCTTTTTTTTTTTTTTAAGAGACAAAGTCTCAATTATCACCCACAGTAGAGTGCGGTGCTGTCACAGCTCATAGCAACCTCCAGCTCTTGGGCTTAGGTGATTCTCTTGCCTCAGCCTCCCAAGTAGCTGGGACTATAGGCAACTGCCACAATGCCTGGCTATTTTTTTGTTGTTGCAGTTTGGCCGGGGCTGGGTTTGAACCTGCCACCCTCGGTATATGGGGCCAGTGCCCTACTCACTGAGCCACAGGCACTGCCCAGATTTTATAAAATCTTGTTTGCCACTCCCCTATCCCTCAGCATGCCTTTAGCATGCCTACCGCATAAACCCTTTCCTCTAAATCCCCATCATGTATTTAGGGAGGACAAGTTCAGTTTTAGTTATAATACAAAACAAAACAAAATCAGGGAGAGGCTTTTCTGTATTGGGGGATGGTAGAGTGAGGCAGGACAAGGACTAAATATTGAAAAATTTTAGATTAACATTTTATGATTATCACCATTCCTTCCTATTAGTTAATTTTTCTGAATATTCCATTGTCATACAGTTTTCTGTTGAAGTCTAACTTACTCTTAGTACCAGGGACCCCACTTTGTAAGATTGAACCCACTAAGCTATCTCTATCATCTTGAAAGTCACCTCAATCCCATCCCCGTCCCTAACCTCTCTGTTGGGACCTTTGAAAGTTCTTTGCTATCTGGGCTTGTTGGCTCATGCCTGTAATCCTAGCACTCTGGGAGGCCAAGGCTGGTGGCTTACCCTGAGCTCAGGAGTTTGAGACCAGCCTAAGCCAGAGCAAGACCTCCTCTCTACAAAAAAAAAAAAAAAAAAAAAAAAAAAAAAGTTGGGTGTTGTGGTACGCATCTGTAGTCCCAGAGTCCCAGATACTTGGGAGGCTGAGGCAAGAGAATCGCTTGAGCCCAAGAGTTGAAGGTTGCTGTGAGCTCTGATGCCACAGCACTTGGCCGAGGGCCACAAAGTGAGACTGTCTGAATTAAAAAAACAATTAATAAATAAAAGTTCTTTTTCTATGCTCTTGAAGGCTTGGCCCAAGGGCAGCTCTTGCTTTTGTGGCTTAAGTCTGTTGTTCCTGGGCAAATGCTGGGTTCTTAGGGAAATCACACTCTTAACTGACTCCATCCCCATTCCTCCTTCCTTCAGAAAAATGGCTACGTGACTGTCAGCGAAATCAAAGCTAGTCTTAAATGGGAGACTGAGCGAGCACGGCAAGTGCTGGTATGTGACTTTGGAATCGCCCAGAAAAGATGAGTCTCAGATGGGAGGAGGTGGGTGGATGGGTTTTACCCAGTCAGGAGCTTCAGCCTCACTTTGCTAGTCTCTTGCCTTAAGGCTACTGCTGCTATGCTAGAAGGGAACTCAGTGTTTTTCTCTGAAGATGGCACTGAAGAGGTAGAACTCACCAAGGCAGGCCTCTAACTTTGGCATGCATATAATACCAGGCTGCCACTGCTCCTGGGGAATGGATACCCATTTGCTTTCCTGAATATCTTGAGCTGGAGTTGCTGGTCAGGAGGTTAATATAGTTTGTAGTAGTAGCACTGTTAGTAAAGAGTGAAAGGAATTATTAACTACTTACGATAATTACATATCTATAATTACACACAACATTATATTGCATATTGTATATAATTTTATATGTACAAACTTCATGGTGCTGATAAAAGACTGTTGTGAAGAAGCAGCAGCAGCATGAGAATGTAGGAGCCTGGGTATTAGCACCTTTTTATTATCTAGGACTTTTATCTGTAAAATGCTGATAACTTAATTACCTGTTTCATATTACTGGGTAGAACCAACCCATCTTGAGCATATTTCTAGCATCTGTTACCCATAAATTATTTTATTATTATTTTGAGACAGAGTCTCACTATGTCGCCCTTGGTAGTACTGAGGCATCACAGCTCACAGCAACCTCAAACTCTTGGGCTTAAGCGATTCTCTTGTTTCAGCTTCCCAAGTAGCTGGGCTATAGGTGCCCGCCACAAGGCCCAGCTATTTTTTTGTTGCAGTTGTCATTGTTGCTTAGCTGGCCCAGGCTAGGTTCGAACCCGCCTGCTTCTGTATGTGGCCAGCGCTGTAACTACTGTGCTACTGGTGCCGAGCCCAGTAAATTAATTCAAAGATAGGACAGGCTAGGCATGGTGGCTCACGCCTGTAATCCCAGCACTCTGGGAGGCTGACGCAGGCGGATTGCTGGAGCTCAGGAGTTCGAGACCAGCTTGAGCAAGAGTAAGACCCTGTCTTTAAAAATAGCCAGGTGTTGTGCCGGGTGCCTGTAGTCCCAGCTACTTGGGAGGCTGAGGCAAGAGAATCACTTGAGCCCAAGAGTTTAAGGTTGCTGTGAGCTATGACACCATGGCTCTACTGAGGGTGACAAAGTGAAACTGGGAACAAAAAACCAAACGATGACCTCCATTTTGCTTCTGGGAGAACAGAGGCAGTGATCTACTCAGCCGATAACTCTGTTGCCCTATGTTCTCTCTACTGCATCCCACTGTGCTTGGCTTGGATTTGCTTTACTCTTTGCCTCAGCAGTACATGTTAAAAGATTTGGTGGCATTTTTTATACCTCAGGCAAAGGACAAGGCCAGACAGATCACAGTTTGGTTGCATAAATGTGTAAAGGCACCTGTGTGTAGATCGTTTGAAAGCCTCACTGAAGCTAAAACAGGTTTGGAGAATGAACATCTACCCTCGGTGGAACTTCTCACATGCTCTTCCTTTTTCCTGTAGGAACACCTGCTGAAGGAAGGGCTGGCCTGGCTGGACTTACAGGCCCCAGGAGAGGCCCACTACTGGCTGCCAGCTCTCTTCACTGACCTCTACTCCCAGGAGATTACAGCTGAGGAGGCCAGAGAAGCCCTCCCCTGACTGAGACTGGAATGGCACACAATAGCAGGCAGGGAGAAGAGGGAAGACCTATTGGTGAATAAACCTGGACAATTTTGTTTATATAAAAAAAAAAAAAATTAGAAAAAAGATACCAAGTTTTTCTTTCTTCTCCCAATATTTTATTTTCCCAAAGTGTCTTCATATTGCATTTTTATTGGAGAAAATCTCATTTATCCAGTAAAGATAACTTGAGTAACACAGGTAACTGTAAGCCAGATATAAAATGACTTGTGCAGATCATCCACACATTCATGGAAGCACTGGGCCTAGAATGCTGTCTCTGGGCCTGTCTAGTTTCTCTGTGGCTGTGAGACAAATTACAGCCTCTGCTAATTCAGACCTCTTATAAAATATTGATCTCAAGATAGCAGGCCCTAATGGACTAGTAGATAACACTTGTTCTTTCAGTCTCTTTCTGCTTTCTTGGTAGAGGTTTCACATTATGATAGACTTAGCTTTGAGTGTGAAAGAAATAAAAGTCAGTGTTAAGTGGTGGCTTAATTGGAAGAAAGAAAAAATTAGTGAATGTTCTATTTCCTCAGATTGCTTACTAGCTTTCCTTCCTGTACTCTTCCTTAGGTCCCTTAAGCCTCAGTGGTGGGATAGGGAATCATTTACTGAACACCCTGTGCTGTATTTTATAGATACCTCATTTTATCCTCACAACCACCTAAAAAGGTTAAGCAGGTAGCCTTAACTTTACTGGTGGTAGATCAAAGTAGTTTGTTGGGGGATCATGAGCTTAAGCAGAGCCAAGGCTAAAACAAGGTCTCTTGATCTCAGAGCCCATGCTTTCCCATCTCACTGCTTTGTACAGTACAGGATGGCAAGTCATACTGTGAATAGATATTTTTTTCTACATACCTGGTCAGCCAAGAGGAAAAAGCCTCTGCCCAGAAAAGCGAGAATCACCTAAAGCAAGTAGAAGTGATGAGGAAGGAGGCCAGAAGACTTTCAGGCTCTCACTGCTCAGTTCATAGGAAGTGCTGGTTTAGTACTTAGAAAACTAGAAGCCATTGACTTCTTACGGAGACCCTTCTGGCTGGAGATACGTAGTCTGGGCTTCTACTTCTTCCTAACCATGCAGGACATATCCATGCCCCACAGCTTTGGAACAGGTTGCTTCTTTGGAAGCCATTGAGACCAAGAAGGCACTCCTCTCATCGACAGAACCATAGTCTCAAAGATGGAGCTCTCCAATTGGTGGAAAACTTGTCAGCAGTAGTCTTCTTCTTCCTAACCCCTCACTGTATAATGCAAGTTTTCAACTTTGCAACAATTCACTGAGTACTTTCCTTTTCCCTGATAGTTCCAGGCCTAGGTGAGATGTGATTGACTGGATGATCCCATTCCTCCTACATAAACCCTCCCATACCCACAGGCACTTCCTCCTTCTGCCAAAACAAACTTTATTGCACCAAAAAGAAAAAAAAAACTTCATTTATGTACAGTCATATATAAAGACATCTCTGACTCCTGTGCATATTATTTCCTCAACTCAAGATTAGGGCTTAAGTCAGGCTGCTATGCCAGACATGCTCTGCCCTATGGCAGGGCCAAGGAGAGGATTGTCACTTGAAAGTGGGAACACTTAAATGGATGACAGTTAACACCGGACCCACAGACCAAGGGCATTCTTCTAATCCCTCGACTAGCCCCAAGAACAGAAGAGGGAAATTGGAATCCAGGTCCCTTTTCACATCTCTATGTGATAGACACTCAACCTTCAGGCATCCAAGATAAACTTGTTCCCCACACCCCCCACTCCCCGTCCAGTTTCTTTGCTTCCTGCCCTCCCAAGTAGGGCATTCTCATTTTTGTGCCTTGCCATCCTCACCCCACAGTTCCCCCTAGGGAGTCCCATGATTCACAAGGCAGAGACCTGTGCAGCAGGCAGGAGAGGTGTACATTATCACCTTCCTTCTGTGTGGCTGGATGCGACTGAGGCCCCATGTCACATGAATCACCAAAACCCCACTGGGAGCCATAACCAGAATCTGGAAGTGGGGGAGGACACATCCAGAAGGAGGGGAATGGATTCCCTTGATACCCAGAATTACAGGGCACCTAAAGCATTTTTCTGAGCCAACTAGCTAGAGGATCGCTGTAGCTAAATACAGAGAGAGAAGCAACACAGCCAGGTAAACACCCATCAGAGCCAGTGACAAGAGCAGCTGGGGAAGAAGGGAGAAGGCTCCAAAGTCCCAGCCCTAATCCCCTTCTGCCATTGGCTACCCTTGCTCCCTATAATTATATCCCTGGGGTTGAAGTGAGAAGGGCAACTACAGGTTGGGGTGAGAATACACAAGGACAGCCAAACAAAATAAGGACTAGTATCAGTCTCCCCCTTATTCCCCACCCCCAAAAGAAAATACCCTCATCGTGACTAGTATTTATGAAAATCTGTAAGAGACTATTCTATGTAGTGGCTCTAATCCCATACACACAGCAGCTGCCTGTGCTGGGAACTTTTCAAATCAGTGATTGTGGGAACAAACAGTATTTTCAACTTACGGTGCCTGGGCAGGCTTTATCAAAACCTTGTTTCAGGCCCAGTCACATTTACCTTCTGTGTGAAATCTAGAAAAAGGGGAGGGAATAGGGGGCAGGGGAGAAAGGTGCTCAGGTGCTAGGTAAAGCTTACTGATCAGCAGCCTAAACTCCACCACTGTTCCTTCTCTTTGGTCTGTCTAGAACAGTGAGTATAAATTAGGAAAAACAAAATTATGCTGGACTGTGGGGAATAACGGGGCAGGGGTCAGAGAGAGGAAAAGGGCATTGAGAAGCCCTGCTTCAAGACTGAAGACAGACAAGACAACCACCCAGACTGCTCAAGTGTTACAGACAGCTCCCTACCCTAAGCTCCCTTCCAGATATCCCCATAAAACCTTTGGGCACACTCCCTCTTGGAATTGCAATTTTTGTCTTCCACCTATCCCTAAGGAGCTGGCCCCGTGGAGAGGTGTGTTGGTTGGTTGGTTTTTGCCAGAGGCCCTCGCCCTAGGTGCTGCTGTAAAGGTACCTTGGCCCCTGATATGGGATGAACAAAGAAGCCCCAGATGCTCCAGTGCCAAGGAGGTCAGATCGGGAACAGCCCCCCACTCCCACACCTTGGGATCCGAGCTTGCTTGGTTCTTGCCATCTTGCAGGATGACGTCAAGTTTGGAGGGAGGTACACAGTGCCTCTCCATCCCTGGGGTGAGGGCAAGGGACTCTGCTGGGACTCTTGAGTGGGGGAAGGGGTGAGGGGAGCTGAGTCTAAACCCTCAGGCTCCCATGCAGGTCTGTCTCTGTCCCAGATGAGCTGCTATCAGAGTCCATTTCAGCGTTCTCATTATGGAGCCTCTCCAGCACTTTCTGACGAATCAGTCCCAGGCGCATCAAGAGGGACTGGTAGTCAAAGTGGCCCCGCTTCTCGCCAAAAGGGTCCTGTGGGGGAAAGGAGACAAGGGGGATGGAAGATTCAAGTCTGGGTGGCTCATCCCATAAAAAGCAGCTTTGGGCCCATGTGAAATGCAAGCTCAATTTCTAAGTCATGGGAACAAAGGAAGGCATAGCATGGCACAAGTAGTCCCAAACAGCAGACAACAAAATCTTTGTTTAGGATTATCACAGCATGCTTACTGCCCCAAACAGGTTTAGTATGGGCTGACCTTAAAAATGTGTCTGTATTACACAAAAGCAAGTCAATACACAGAAGAAGGCATAGTAAGGATGAGATCGCTAGAGAATAGGATTGTAATCATTAAGTGTGCCCTTTTTTGTTTTTTCTTAAAAGAAAAAAAAAAAAAGATGAGGTCCTGTTATATTGCTCAGGCTTATCTTGAACTCTCCAGCAAAACTGATCCTCCTGCATCTGTTTCTCAAGTAGCTGAGATTACAGGTACATAATACAACACCTGGGCTATGCCTGTATTTTCTGGGATTTTTTTTTTTGTTGTTGTTATCAATTTTTTTAGTGTCTGTGTTATTTTTTATTTACTTTGGTTTTTTTTTTTTTTTGGCTTTAACAAAGTCTCACTTTGTTACCCTTGGTAGAGTGCCCTGGCGTCACAGCTCAAGGCAACCTCAAACTCTTGGGCTTATGTGATTCTCTTGCCTGAGCCTCCTAAGTAGCTGGAACTACAGGTGCCTGCCATAGTGCCTGGCTGTTTTTTGTTGTAGGTATCATTGTTATTTTAGCTGGCCCAGGCCAGGTTCGAATCCGCCAGTCTCGGTGTATGTGGCTGGCACCCTACCCACTGAGCTACAGGTGCCGCATATCTAATTTTTAAATTTTCTGTAAAGACAGAGTCTCAGGCTAGTCTTGAACTCCTAACTTCAATCAATAAATCCTACTGCCTCAGCCTCCCAAAGTGCTGGGGTTACAGGCATGAGCCTTGGTGCTTGTTATTTAATTTAAAAAGCCTTAGAAAGAAATTGTCCTTCATTCCCTATACTAAAAAAAAAAAAAACCCCAACCTGTTAATTTGCTTTTCTATAGGTCACAGGCAGGTCTAGAAGGCAAGAGTTCTGACTTCTAAATAAGCACCCATACTCTTCCCCAGGGACTCATCACTACAATCCTGTCCAGGTTTCTAGGCTCTAGTCCAGGGTCATGTAGCCTTGATCTGAGTTAGTCCTTATTGTTCTAGCTTAAAGATCTCTAAAGATTTTATAGAAAGGCTTAATTGTTCTCAAAGTCTCAGAAGCAACTATGGTTGGGGTGGAGAGTATAAAATAAAAAGAATTTGAAATGCCATATAGGGACTTTAATGGCAAAGTAGTATGGCCAGAGCAGAGTTCAAATAAGTGGAAATGGCCTTCCCTGGCAGTCCCAAACAGGTACACAATTTTCTCTTTTACAAAAAACCCCTTCCACATTTCTGTCCACATAGTAGCCTCATAAGCAGGGTGTCAGGGGGTGCTTGTCATAGTCACTGGGACTACAGCCCACACTGCTCACTATTCCCTGAATGTTGAGCTTATTCCAGAGCTATCAATTCTCCAAATCTTCCTTCTTTCACCTTTGGTTCCATTTCTCCAACTCCCCCTCCTCCCCCTCATGCTGTTTCTTCTCCCATCCTTCATCACAAGTCATTTTTCCTTTATGGACTGAATATTGGTAATGTGCTATTGGACAGAAACAATGAGAATTCCTGATGGAAAACAAACTAGGGCATATATCATCTATGTACTCTCAAGAAAGGTTCAGGAAACAATTTAATCCTGAGCCTGACTTGCCCTTTGAGCTTAAATGAAAGGACAGGGAAGCCACCATTTATAAGCAGCATCACAGAAATTGGAATCTACCTACATGACACTGTACATCTATCAATTCTCTAAGCCACCTGTTCTAAGGGCTAGAGATGTAATTCTAACAG